TCCGTGTTTCGCTCGCTCCTAGCCCACTGGAACACGGATAGTGGCACAGCTCAAGAAGGAGCTAAAAGAAGAGATCGTGGGGGAGCTCCTGCAGGCGGACCAAAGCGAGAAGATCTTCCGGCCGGGTCGGCTCCTGGCGTGGACAAAGCCTTCGCTAGTCGAGCAGCTACCGCAGAAGTTGAGGCAGTCACTCCGCGCAAGAAACCAGTACGCGGAGATAGGGGTCGACATTTCACCGCGGCTGGACACCCGGGCGGCTGCACCGACCCTCAAGCTGACGGAGGCGGGGCGTTTCAAGGGCAAGGGCATGGCCATGGTGGACGTCATCTTCCACGCAGACAGCCGCGGGTTTGTAATCCAGGCTCTCCTACATCTACGGCGCCAGCTGGGAGCCAACGCAAATAACTTGATCATTCAGGACTCGCTGACGAAGCGGGGCCTGGCTGAAGGCGCAGCGCACAGCCACGTACATTTGGCTCCGCGACGTTGAGAAACGCGACGTCCGCTGGGTATACGGCGTTGACATAGCAGCGAAGAACAATGGGACAATTCCCCAAACCCCACAATTCCTCCTGTGAGGCCGTTCCTAGTCGCTGTACGGTGTGCAGGATCCACGCTCCTTTGCGCACTCATGCCCAAAGAGTAATAGAAACTGCAGCCAGTTTAAAATGTATCGTTTATCGACAGTATTGGGGAATTCATTAAACCGGTCTATGAATTGCATCCTTGGCTCGCAATTTCGCAGCTCAGCGACCTTCCGCGCGCTAAACCCGCAGCAGCGCCATCGGCTTGCAGCTTGTGCAAAAATGGATGATTCTGTGATCGTGAGCCTTTTAGAATACCAGCTTACGTGTCACCTATCCGGTCGCTAATCGTAATTTCTGTCATTTCCTGCAGTACAAGTTTGGGCCTCACACTATTCCGGGATCTCACGTGTTTGTGCTATCAAATCTCTGTTACGGATTTGTGAACTTGAAGCCCGTCGTGCCAGGTACGCGGATTGACCTGCATGTTGCTGCAGCACGCGGTGGGGTAGAAGGGGAAAGAAGTAAGGCGAGGGACATGAATCCAAACGGATTCCATCTTCACCTGTGTCCAGGAGATCCCATGAGATTGTAACCTGACAAGAGACAAGCAGATTATCAGAAACAGTAGGGAACTCATATCAAGGCCTTTTCGTGTCCTCGCCTTCGTCACGTGAGCTAGATTTAGGTCTTACACAGTTGATCCATCAGAAGGTCGCGAAGAACGGGTTTAAGAGGCCAGAATTTGCGGACCTGGCGGAGCCTTCTTCTTGGGGCTGCTCCAGCAGAAGCGCTCAGCACACTCCTGCACGCTGCGTACACACAAAAAGGGGCCCTTGCATCTCCTTAGCTGCCGTACAGAAAAGGGGACGTGGCATTATGATCGCAATTTCCTGGTGCGATAACCTGTTTGCACTTGCACCCCATGCGGGATGCGCACACAACTACGTAGCCGCACAACACCCTTTATTATGGGCTGATACCTCGTAACCCACCGGACGATGCCAAAGCAGCCATGGAGGTGCAACGGAGGCGGCGTTACGGCACCAACCCCCCCGATCCGTCCTTGCTCCTCCCAACAACACGCCGTAAACACGAAACCTGAAGATGCGGCTAAAACCCTGAACGGGCACCTCCGTCGCTTCTGTATGCCTTTGCGCTGCAACTATGTTCTCTTTTGTCGTACTGTTGTCGTACATTCCAGGCCACGTGCTCGTCAGCACCAAGCGCGTCGTACAACGATTCACTGACCTGACGCCGGATGAGGTTTCCGACCTATGGTACGCTCCTGCCCCTGTATGTCTGTTTGTCAGGGTTCTTCGCGCTTGTGTTTCGTTTTGTTGGCATCCCACCCAAAAAGCGCTTTCAAGCATTCGTCCTCCCACTTCCTGGGCCGTTGCAGCCGTAGCGTAAGAAGGCGCGCGTAGTGGACGGCGTTATGAAAGCCTCCTCTGATCGCATTCGAAGGTCCCCCTGAAGGAAAGAAGTATCCTCGCCTCGTGCCATCCCCGTCATCCCCGTCATCCCCGTCGTCGCCCCTCGCCCGCCTCGTACACTGGGTTGCGCGCCCCGCTTGGACTTGAACAGGCCCCACCCCACCCGTGTTTTCATCTCCTTTTTAGGGGATCTGCTGCTCCTGCTCCTGCTGCTGCTGCTCGTTGCCGTTAATTTCCCTCAGCCCCCCCTCCCTTTCGTCCCGATAACAACACGATTGCTTTAGGTCTTGTGGTTGTGCGTGTGTGTGTATGTGTGGTGTTAACCGCCTTTTCGTACCTTCTTATCCCCCTCCCGCCAGCCGGCCCACCCACCCATCCGCCTCCCAACTGCCGTACTCGCAGGTTGTTGGCGCAACGGATCGGTAAAACCGTGGAGGCTCATTACGGCGCGCAGTCACTTACCCTGGCCATCCAGGATGGGGCCTTTGCAGGTGAGGAGGTTGAGATTGCTGCTGGCGGGAGAGAGAGGGGGGTTGCGGGTGGTGAGGGAGGGCTTCCCGAGAGAGGTGACATTAAACATGGGTGAGGGGGATGAGGGGGGGTGAGGGGGGACCTAAGCGGTCCCGCCAACAATCGTTTTGACCTCATGAGTCGTATTCCGTTCCGAAACCGTTCGTACAGGTCAAACGGTGCCGCACGTGCACATCCACGTGCTGCCTCGCAAGGCGGGCGACTTCCCCCGTAACGACCAGGTGTACGACGCCATTGACCACAAGGCAGCCGAGTACGACAAAGCAGCTGAAAAGGAGTACGGCAGGTAAGTCACGATGGCCGAATTAGCGTTTGCTTTTTGTCGGTCAGTGAAATGGAGGTGTCATTGTTGTCGTACTGGGTTGATGAGGTACGGGAAAAGGCGCGCGGCAGCCCCCGTGCGTGACTAGCTCCCGTCCGATTTCCCCCCCTACATGACCATTCCAAAACCCCCACAAGCAGCACCACCACCTCCACCACCACCGTTAGCTCGCAACCGTCATGCAGAGGGGCCGCTTCCACCACTGCCATCCTGCCACTGCCGCTTGCTTCTGCTGCTTCCATCGTCATTTTGCCGCTTCACTGTTCCGTTTTCTCCGTTTCTAACCGCGGCGCGCCCGCAAAACCCCAGTTCGAACCCCGCCGCCGTCATCGTTTGCGACTGTTCGGTCTCTCATGTCGTATTGCCATCCTGGTGCCGTTGCCGCTTGGGCTGTATTATTTGCATCCAGTGTTGCTGTGCCCCACCCCACCTCCCCGGGCGCCGGCTCCGCAGCTCCGGCCCCGGTGAGAAGCTCGACCTGGACAAGGAGCGCCGGGTCCGGACCCACGTTGAGATGGCGGAAGAGGCGGCGGAGCTTCGGGCGCTGCTACAGCTGAACAGCGCTACGGCCACTGAGGCCCCGTGACCGGGTGCTGTGCTCCGCAGTGCCCTGCTGCGCACGCGCGTGTGTGTATGTGTGTGTACTAACGACCTGAGCCGCGATGAGCGTGCTGCTTGTATACATGTGTTTGTGTGTGTGTAAAGCTACGTGTAGCCACTTGTATGACTTGTGCGTCTGTCTGTCTGTCTGTCTGACGGTCAGTCCGTGTCGGAGCAGGTGGTGGACCAAAGGGCGATTCCATTGTTTTTTTCGCGGTCAAGCTGTTCTGTCAGGATGTACCTACAGACGGACTGCAGCTACTACCTGCCCACAGAGGAGCACTCCCCCCCACGGCGAGGCGCAGGGCTCCGGGGCCCCTCGGGGTAGGGAAGTCGGTGGCGGAAAGAGGAAATGTCAAAAGCCAAACGCGGCTTTGTACAGGAGATGGGTCCTCGCGCGTGTACGATGCAAGGAGCCCACTAATACCCGCGTGATGTTGGGGTGGACGTGATACCCGTAGTTGGGCTTAGGTTCAAAGGCTTGGAACCATGAGCCGAATTTGATGCTGCTGATGAGCTGTAGTGTGAGCTTGTGTAGGAGGCAGGGCGGCAGGCGGCAGAGACTCGCGGTCAAGCGGCGTGAGCCGTGTTATAGGCGTGCGGCGTTTGTACGCGCGCGGTGTCGCGATTGTAGCCAGTGTGAATTTGCACCCAACTCCGATTCTTACCTCCGTCCTCCTCAGCGGTTAAAAGTGTGTGGGATACCTGGTGTGTAGGTGACGGATGTTTAGGTGGTTTTCTTAAGTACTGAACACGTGACAAACCTACCAGTATTATTTTGCGAAGGTTTTGTTGTGGAGTTTGCTGGAGCAACAGTTAAGAGGACGGTTTATAGCTGGGGGTTGGGAACTGGCAGTTGGCAGTTGGATCTCCAACCGTCATGGAAGTTTCTAACGGCACGGGATCGCCACCACCGCCACCAATGACCGTTAGGGTTTTAGGGTTTTACACCGACTTCATAAATTATGGTGACGGTGGTGGCGATCCCCTGCCGTTATGAACCCTAACATGGTGACCTGGTTGGCTGCGGTTGCCGCCCTTACAACGGTCTATAGGGTTATTAGGGTGGCCGCTGAAACCACGGCCCACTCCTCGCGGAACGAGGAACCGGGCGGCGTCAGACCTCGGCGATGTGGATAGCTAGGAGGTCAACAGACAGATCAATCCTCATTCATCTGGCCCTGTGGGTGCCCCATCAGGGCGCCAAGTGTGTATGGGGGGCCCCCCTAGGTTATACCTTTGGAGGGTATAACACAACTCCAGAAGGTGTGTAACACACACACACACACACACACACACAGAGCAGCAGCAGCAACGACAACGACGCGGTCGATGGTGTATTGCTCGAGGCCAGCACATAAGCGCATGTGTCCGGCCCAACTCCGGGCGCACAGGGGCACACTCGACGTGGGGAAACGCGGGGGACGAAGGTGAAGAGAGCGGGGAAGTGAGCATCGCAAGGGGGCCCCCTGGTTGCACCCAGGCGCCCGAAATAGATCAAAAATCGGTGAATATCAATTCTTTGGAAAATATATTGGTACGGTGGTACGGGTTAATGCCCTTGTGTGTGTGTGTGTGTAGGGGTGTGTAGGGGTGTGTGTGTGTGTGTGGGTGGGTGGGTGGGTGCGTGCATACACGGGAAAAGATCTAGACTCGGCTTTGAGATAAGCTGCAATCTGAGGTTATCTGGGTACTTGGCTTCGTGTGGCCGGGATAGGTCACGGACGCGATGACAGTGAGGCGCATCCCTAATGGCGATGGACTTGCAGCAGGCCGGTCGGTGCAATCAAGGAGGTTGGTGTCAAGCGAGAAAGCAAAGACTAAAAGCTAAAAGCCCAGACGGGCAGACGGGGCAGTGGGAAAGGATCCTGAGGTTGTAGGACCCTGGCTGGAGTTGCAAGTTGGCTCACCCGGCGGATCACACGATGGCAAGGGCTTAGGACGGGCATACGAGCGTACGGCTAACGGGAGTACAGCGGAAGGATAAAAATAATGACACGTGTGTGTGTGGTAGCGGCTCCTGGCACGCGCGGCAAGACATAAATCTAAGGGTTGAAGCAATGACAGGCTATGGCGAAAGCATTACTGCAGTGCTTGGCAAAATGGGGAGATACGCTTCTGATGTCGTTTCGTAACCGGCCTCACACAAGTAATCTTTTCGCAACCGCTGCACGTGGCGCGTTATAAAGTATAACTTATGCGCATAATAAATTGGAAGGTAAACGTATGTGATCGGACGGTGGCACGTGCGGTGGGCGTTAGGTGCGACAACTAGTCGGACACTGGTTCTTCCCATCGATCAGTTATGCCATACGTCATCGTGTTTTCAGGAATGGCATCTATTTTATTTTAATTTAAATTGCAGTGTTGCAAAGGCAACTGCTCGGCGATGCAAATAACCGCAGGATGGCGTCTTCTATTCCGTGACACGGTGCTAATCCGATATAATCTCAATCCCATAGTTACCGTAGGTAATTTATATTGATTGAGTTAACTAAGGCTAGGGGTTAAAGCGCATGGACCTCTTTATCCGTATCTTTAATCGACTTGGGCCTGGACCCGCGTGCTTAAGCTGTCCCTACGCAAATTGAAAGCATTCACCTGCCGCTTTAAGGTCTCCATGGTGCCATGCTGTGTCACCAGGCAAACCACAGCCTGTAAAAATGTGATTGTACAATATGTACGGCTGGCAGCCAGGGAGTTCCTTCGCTGCTTTGGAGATGAATAAGCCTTTGTCGGGCAAAGGCAGCTTTTGTTCTCAACATGTAACAGAGGTTGTTTAGCTTTCTTGCAAGGACCTGGGTTGCTGTAAACTGTAAAATACGAGACCACAATATACGTGATAGGAAGCTGTACCGCGCTGTAACAAAGCCTTCTAAGGCCTGAGGGAGTCATTTAAGCTTTGCGTCGACGGCGGGGCTGCGGGCACGGGCCCCGTTCTCCAGGTTTCCGAACGTTTGGGCGGTACTTGTCAGGGCAAAAGCCAGCGCCGGTCGGGACTAGTGCAGGATGAGCTCTGCCAAGGCTGGGGTGCTGCAGCTGGCACCCCAGACTGGCGAGGTGGGTGCCCTGGTGCCCTTTCTGTGCTTCTGGACTGAGTCTGCCCTGTCCCTTGCGGGGCGCAAAACGTTAGCATCGTAGCTACGCATCTTCTTTGATCAGAAGCCTGTTCATTTTACACGTGCCTGTCCTGGTTATAGGGCCTGCGCAAGGTGACTGGCCACGAGCATTGCTTTGTACTGTATGCTGTTGACCGCGTTGTACAGCGATGTATTGCGCGATAGTTCCCAGTACTGTTGTGTTCGCAACCTGAGGTCGTTTTTGTTAGGTGCGGTGGATTGGCCCGCGTGTTGGTGCAAACTTGATAGGAATGCTGGGCGGCGGACATTCTTTCACTCTCGACCCTTTTGTCTGTTGGGCTTCAATGACACCCATCGCAGCAAGCACAATGTTACATCGATTTGTCACGTTTGCTTGTCACGGGGACGCGGAGCTTTTACAACAACCCGACTTTTTCGGACATCACGCTAGTTTGTCCCGATGGGCGCCAGCTGCGATGCCATCAAGTCATCTTGGCCGCCTCCAGCAAGCGCCTCGCGTCGGTGCTTAAACAAGGTGCGTCCGTGGGCCATGTCTTGCCCCGGAGGTCGAGGGGTTGGAAAGGCCTGTGCGCACTGGCCCGAGACCGGACAATATTCAATCAGACTTCACCCCTCGAGCGAGGATCTTCCCTTCCCTGGACCCATCCCCGCCATTCCAAATCTTGGCCCTCCCGTGCGCACAGGAGCGCAATTGGCCACATACACACTCGCACATATCGCGCCTCCATGTGTGTGCGTGTGTGGTTTGGACAGGGAGACGAAGGAAGGTTGTCCGAGGGCTGTGTGGTTTTTCCACACGGCCCTCTTTTGGGTGCGGATTGCGCGTTCACGGCACTTAGTACGGCATGTTTGTCTCCAGTTTTTTCCCATATCACCGCCCTCACCATGACACGACACAACACGACGGCCTCCACAACCCTCCGCGGATCCTAACTTGAGCTCTTTTGAGTTCTTTGCTCTGCTCTGTTGTTGTCTATCCCGTAATCCTCTGCCCTTCCCTCCCTCCTCCTGATTATCATCATCATCATCATCATCATCTTCCATCCTGAAGGTCTTCACCACGGTCTATTAATATCCTGGTCATCAGGATTACACTCAGAATCGGAATCTCCCCGCATTTCCATCAGTTTTCTTTTTTACTATTAAATATCACCCCATCAGGACTTACGCAAAATTGACTTTCCTATCCTCCCGCCTGTTTGTTTGCGCGCCCTGGCTTCAGGCGGCTTCACGGGCTCCAAGCTGCCGGTGCAGGGCGTGGACAGTGATGCCCTGGACACCCTCATCGACTCCTTCTACACGGGGGAGTGCCCCCTCACCTTGGCCACGGCGGCGAGCATATACGACGCAGCAGTCAAACTGGAGGTACGGACATGTGGCTTGTTTCATTCTGAAATGCAAGGCTGAAGCGGGCGATGGGTTTTCCTTGGTGCGTCATCGAACCGCCGGTGTGTGTATGTATGTGTGTCTTCATGAACTGCTAGCCGCGAGGAAAGTACATACATACATACATACACATACATACATACATACACATACATACATACATACATACATACATACATACATACATACATACATACATACATACATACATACATACATACATACATACATACAGGTTGATGAAGGAAGTCACGGTATGCAGCAGAGGGCTTTACCTAAGACCTACCGAAGTTGTAGTCGTCCAGGAAAGGAGTAGCCGCCAGCGGTAGATTGTTTCAACGGGGGGGGGTGGACAAAAGGGGGGGAAAGAGGGGCGGGTCCCGAGAGAGTAGTAGTGGCGATATGGACAGCTGGGTGATGGGCGGCGGCGGCTATGTGTTGTGTGTAACCCTCTCTTTGCGTTGTGTGGGTGGTGGATGGGTGGATGGGTAATGTGACTGGGAGAAGATGTGGGAGCCAAGTTTGCGCTGTCTGTCCCTCATTCATTCGGTACTGTCCACACCCGCACACCCGCACACCCGCACCCGCCCCCTCACATGTTCTCCGGACGTCCGCCCCCCCCATCGCTGCCGCCAGGTGAACGGGCTGCCCAACGCCGTGGAGCAGTTTGTGAGCGCCAGCCTCACCCCCAACAACGCATGCCTGCTGCTGGAGAGGGCCATGGGCACCAAGACTGGCCGACTGGCGGAAGTCTGCCTGCAGTTCATTAGATCCAGGTACGACAGGTGCCCGTACAACCCCGTACGACTCATGCCGTACCGCCTATGTTGCCGGTACGACTTCCGTGTCGGGGCTCTTGTACGGAGAGCGGGCTCTTGCCGATCTCTGCTTTTCGGGTGTTGAGAGTGTTGGGAGTGTTTTCTTGCTCTCTCCTCCTCCTCCTCCTCCTCCTCGCTTTGCTGTCCATCTTCAGAGTTCAGAGTCCATCTCCGGACCTGGCCGTCATCAGAGCTACCGCTTCCTGACGGCCTGGTCGTCCTGATTCCACTGCCGTGTCGGCGTGGGGGCCCCTCGGGAGCGCCTGAGCGCAGTAGTTAGGACAGTGAGTGCCTGACCGCCTGTATGTGTATGTATGTGTGTCCGCAGGCTGGCGGATGTGGTTCCCACTCTGGAGTTCAGCTCCGCCAATATGGATGTGGTGGGGCAGATCTGCACCGATGTGGCTAACAACCGCCACCCTCCGCAGCTGGCGCTGCAGGTACGAATGGCGGTGTACTTGCGTGCGTGTGCTTACGTGTGCTTATGTGTATGTACACCCTGACCCTGACCCGGCATGGATGGCCGGCCCCCCAGGTGGCCATTGCCTGGCTCCGAGGGCCCCCCAGCGGCCCCAGCCGCACGCACCTGCTGCCCGCGCTCGCCGACCAGATAGGCATCTCATCGGACATACTGCAAACCTACATGCGGAACAGCGGCAACAGCCCCACAGCCGGCGGCGGTGGTAATGGTGGCGGAGGAGGGAATGGCGGTGGTGGCTCCGCCGCCGCCGTGTCCCTCCTCGGCGAGCCGCCCTCCCTGGACGGCTCCCTGTCGCTCAGCTCCCTACCGCTGCTACAGTTGTTGCCGGCAGGGCAGCTGCAGCAGTTGGGAATGGGCGGCGGGGCCGCCGGCGCAGCGGCGGCACAGCTGTTGTTGGGTCAGGGCAAGGGTGGGGCAGGTACGGCAGCGCTGAGGAGCCTGTTGGAGGAGGACGGCGGCGGCGCCGCTGGCGGCGGCGGCGGCGCCGGAGTGGGCAGCATGGAGGGCGCCGCGCTGGCGCAGCGACTCGGCAATTTGGCGGGATTGCGACGGGATCTGGAGGAGGGCGCGGCTGCGGCGGGGGGGTTCGCTGGGGCCCTGGGTAGCATGTCAGCGTCGGGTGGCGGGCGGGGGAAGCGCGCAAGGACTGAGGACAGCCGGCGCAACAGCGGCTGGGAGCAAGGTGGGTGCACGTGACGGGGGTTGTCTGACGAGACGGCAGGGTGAGTGTGTGAGAGTGTGTGTATTTGGCCTGACACTGGCCAGGGGCACCTAACCGTATACCCCAATTGAAACGACCGCCGAAGTGCTCTCCTCCTCGTTGCAATTATATTTATTCAAATTTTATTTTTATAAGTTATGCAGTATTATGTTTTTATCATTAATTAATATAATTTTATATAATAATTAAATAATATTATAGGAAAGGATGTTTTGATAATTCATTCCGACATCCCTGGTGGGGTACCGCTGGCGCATTGCCTGCTGGCTGTTTGACTGTACCACTGCTGCTTTTAGAAGCCTGGAAACATGAGAGCTACTTGCTCCTATGCTTTCGTCTCCCATCCCGCAGCCATTCTATGCCGCGCATTCAACCCCTCTTTTCCCCCCTCCTCACCTCCGCCATGCCGATTTCCCTGTGCCGCTGCCCACGTCCATTTCCCCTCCCTAGAGCCGCTTACCTCCAGCCTGGGTCGCGGCCCCTCCGGCGACCAGCTGGACATGTTGTTATCCCCCTCGGGTCCCGGGGCGGGCGGTGGAGGCGGATTCGGGGGCGCTGGCGGCCTGGGGGCCCTGCTGCAGGGGCCCCAGGCCGCTGCCTACACTGCGGACCCCCCGCCTAGAGACCGCCGCACGCCGCAGGTGAAGCGGCTGGGGCTGGGGATTGGACTGGGGCTGGGGAAGCCCGGGAGTGGGTTGGAGTAGGAGTTTTAGTTTAAGTTGTAGAAATATAATAAATGATAATATATATAATAATACATATAATATTGTATATTATATTATATTATATGTATATATATTATAATATATATATCATAAATTATGTATTATTATATAATTATAATATAATATAATAATTAGACAGATAATGATAATAATGATGATAATAAATTACAGAGCGCTGCGCAGCGGAACCCTCGCCGCCCCTCCGCGCCCGCCCCTTCCCCGTTTTACACATAGCCACATGCGCTCCATAGCCGTCCTGATCCTGATTCTGATCGCGCACACCACGCCGTCCACCTTCCCCGCCCCCGTGGGACGTCGGCAATCGAGGTTTTCCTTCCCATCATCAGCATCATCATATGTCCCCCCCACCCCCCACCCCCACCCCCCACCCATCCCCCACCTCCTGTATGTAGGTCAAGGGCGTGTGCCACGTAGAGGGCTGCTACGCGGACCTCACCGGTCTGCGGGACTACCACCTGAGATATAAAATATGTGAGTGACGGTGTGACGCGCGGACAGACACACACACACACGGAGAGAGGGAGTGAGGGAGTTGTG